GGGGGTGGGGGGATGGGTTAGCCTGGTGATGGGTATTAAAGAGGGCACGTATTGAATGGAGCATTGGGTATTATACGCAAACAATGAATCATGGAACACTACATCAAAAACTAATGATTTAATGTATGGTGATTAACATAATAAAAAAATCTTTAAAAGAAAATAATGGGGATAGCAGTATCTACCAGTCCAGGGGCTTAAATGAGATAATGTGTATAATGAATCTAGTGCTTGAAGTGTTCAGTCCGAGACAGCTTTTCTTAGAATTCTGAACACTGTAGTTATTTCTGCACGGAGTCTTTGCCCAACAGGTACTGCTGCCTTCACTGCTGCTCTTCCCCTGTGATCCAGTCCCTTCTGCCCTCCATGCCCTGAGCAGGGTATCTCTGGTCTGGGAGGTCTGGTCACAAGCACCAGTGCCTGTGTTGGGTTTGGGAGTCCCCGGTTACATGTGCAGGTGATGCCCCAGTCATCCTCTGAGTTGGCTTCTCCCTTGCTGTGGAGGACTCACTAGCGGAGTGTGCTCAGCCATAGAGCTGCCCTGTTTTGAGTGTTGCACAAATCATCTGTTTCAGATTTGAGCAGATTCAAGTTCATTCTTCTAAAATACCACTTACGTTCCCACATGTTCTTCTGCCTCCCTACGTCCCCCCCAACCCCACCCTGCAGCATCCCTGCTATAGCAGAGTCATGGTGCTGTGGCTGGCTGTCTGCCTGCCTGCCTCCCCCAGGCAACTGTGAGCACCTTGAGGCCAGGGTCTACTGACTTTTCCACAGGGTCCCCACAGGGTCTAGCACATGAGAAACAGGAGATAAAATGATAAGCCCTGTGGAGGAGGCTGATCCAAACTTCGCATAAGGGCTGAACAGGAGAATTGTGGGGCGCCTGGCTGGCTCAGTAGGAAGAGCATGTGACTCTTGATCTGGGGGTTTTGAGTTTGAGTCCCATGTTGGGTATAGAGATGACTTTTTTTTTTTAAGGATTTATTTATTTGACAGAGCGAGCATGAGGCAGAGTGGCAGGCAGAGGGAGAAGCAGGCTTCCCGCCGAGCAGGGAGCCCGACGCGGGGCTCAATCCCAGGGCCCTGGGATCATGACCTGAGCCGAAGGCAGACGCTTAACCGACTGAGCCAGCCAGGCGCCCCGGGTGTAGAGATTACTTAAATAAACTTAAAAAAAATTTCAAACAGTTCTTCCAGAAGGTTGAATGAGCAGCATCCCGTGGCAATCAGCAGAGGGCGTGTTCCCACTGCAGCCAGCAGACAAGAGGATGGATAGGCTCCGTGTTGGATCTCCAGTTAAAACCCTAGTCTGGCCGCCTGAGCACCCTGAGGACTGCCACAGGGCATGAAGGTGGGTCCTGGCCGAGCCATCCATATAGTCCTTGCAGGATCAATAAGACCTTCCACCAAAGTAGGTTGGTTTTTTTTTTAATTGCAGTGTTCCCAGCCCTGTGGCAGGACTGAGGGTAGGTCTCTGTATAGAACACAGAATGGCATTAACATTATCACAGGGACAGGGGGTGGCTTCCTGGGGGCCCAGCAAAGGGTGACGCACTCATTCTCTTTTGGAAAGCTGTGCTGTGGCCATGGGGATTCCTTTCTTTGAGCCAAGAAGCTGCTAGACAGATGGCCTTTGGGAGCAGTCAGTTCTCCCAGAGGGTCAGCCGGTGTCACCAGGCACCTGGCAGGCTGGGACATCAGTGAGATCCTTGTCCAAAGCCCAAGCCTATTCCTCAAGGGGAAGCTGGCTGTGGCACTCCAGGCACCGTGCCGTTCACTGGGCCACCTGCCAGCCCCTCCGGGTTGGGCCAGATGAAGACCTGCCACACTCGAGGCTCCTCTGCCGTAACGGTCACCCAGGCTTAGCTTCCAAAAGAAGCTGGCACAGTGGCAACGCCAAGGGCAAGGCCAGCCCAGCTGGAGAAGGGAACTGTGATTTGCTGAGAACCTACTTATTGGGTTTACTAAGGGAGATCTGTATCTATGTATCTATATCTGTATCCGTCAGCTCATTTATATACATACATATCTTTTCTATAGCTCTATATAGCTTTTATATAAAATATACATAAAATCCAATTCCCACAACATCACAACAAAATATACTTTAATACATGAGGGAATTGGGGCTTAAAGGATTAAATTACTTTGCCCAAGGTCACCCAGCAAGTATTTGTACTATTATGGTTTGAACCGAGGGGTGCCTTGTCCCAAAGGTCTTGCTCTTTCCCACTCCCCCACACTGGGCGTGACAAATTGGCAGGCATGATGCTACGAAAATCAGCACAGGGGAGTCTTCAGGGAGGTGGCTATTCCAGTGTCTTGTATGGGTACGAGACAGTAACCGCCCCAACCGTTCACTGACTCCAGACATGCGGGACATATTCAGGAATAGGCATGATCCAGGGGAAAACAAGTGAAAAGAGGAACCTGCACTGGGGCCTGTGAGCGGACGGGAAGTATTGTTAATCACAGGAGGCCCTCACTTTCCTTTGACTAACCATGGAGGAGGGAGAAGGCCAGAAACCAGGAAAGAGACAAATAGTCATTATTCAGAAATGAAATGAGAGATAAATGGAGGAGGGGCAACAAGCAAGGAAGCCTGAATCATTTTCAAGAATGCCTTCAAATCTGAGTTGCTGGTGTGGAGGAAGGAGCACGGACTTATTTTGGGCAAGTCCCTGAGCACCAGTCTCCTTATTTCTGAAATGGGGCCATACCATTTAATCTGTTGTGAGGAGTAGGGATAATGAACTTAGAATAGCCCCCAGGGGGGACACCATGAATTGTGTGTCTTATCATTAATTTCCCCTGCAGTGCTCTAGTTCTTGCCAGCTGGGCCCTAAGGATGGAAAAGGATCCTCTGCGGTGAGTGGTTATCAACAGGTGGCATCTGGAAAAGTCGAAAATAAAGGTGCTGTCTGTGGGACGGTGGACTCCCTGTCCAGGAGAGGTGGGCAGGCCCAGGGTAGGAGGCCGGTAGAAGACGGGGGTAGAGGCAACCTCTGCTCTGGTCACATCATCCTTGGGAAATGGCCTATAAAGGAAACCCCCACAGCTGGGGGGAGGGGGTTGGCTCATGGGGCTGTCCTGTGCTTCAGGAGGCAGAGGGTGACCTGCCTGCTCTCACTGGGGTCCGTTGGGATTGAGCAGGGGCTACAACGATGTTTACCCAGCTCTTTGCTCGGGTTCCCAGAGGTTCCCTGCTGGCAGGAGATCCTAAGGTCCAGGTGAGGCCAGAACTATCCCTGCCATGGGGTGGGGAGGTGGGCAGGACGCTCACAGTGGACATTTAGCTATGCGAGTCCTGCCCCTCAAGAGGTGCTTTTCTCAGAACGCAGCTTTGGTTCTTTTGGATCCCGTGAATGTTTTTATTTTGCATAAATCTGCTCACCTTCCCTTTGCCAGAGATTGCTCGAAGCCCAATCTGTGCTTCAATTTCACAGCCTGAGACCCAGCGACCTCCGTATCTGCTTTCTAATTCCAGCCCACCTGGGCTGACCTTCCTTCCTAATTTATATTTAACATGGCCAACCTTTTCATTCTACTTTCAAATATTTTTGAAATATATTCTTGCACGCTGCTTCTGTTCCTTTGGCAAATAGACAACAAAGCAACCAACCAATCCAGGAACCGCTGAAATAGAACCATTCCCTTCTGGTAGATATTGAACCCGTGCCTGCTCTTGGGTAGTGAACCGATGATACACAAGGGCTCCATCTAGGAATTTCAGGACACAGCGGAAGTCCCCCAGGGAAGTCACGGTCACGAACCTCCCCACCTTTGCCGCCACACCATCTCTGGGCAACTCGGCAGGGGAGGACTCCATTTCCCCAGTGCGCAGGCGCTGGGTAGCCTCTGCCCCCTGAGTCCATGTCTTGTTGGCGGCGAGGCTAGCTCCGTCCTTACCTTTATTCCTTGGCCGAGGCTTTCCAGGGAATTAATATCCAGTCCTTCCTTGCAGGCCTGCAGGCAGGAGATCACCTTCTGACTCTCCATTTTGCCAGGGCGGATAGTGAGACTGGCCAGGCTGCCGTGGAAGAATTGAGCAAAGCGTGGTTTGGTGACTTCTCCTCCTGAAAGTGAAAGCAGCACGGTCATTTACCCTGTGGAGACTGGGTCCGAAACACCACTTCATGGCACGATCTGGCCGGGGGACCAAGGACACAGTGACTGTGTCCCCTCAACCTGAGCTTTTCCTGCAGAGCGGTAAGCTCAGCGGCCAGCCTCGCAACACGAGGATATTACCTGCCGCCAAGACCTTGGCGCTCCCCAGCGGCACCTGATTTAGAAATCCTGGATTGGAAACAGCTGCCTTCAGAGGCGTGCACTGTGTTAGAAGACAGAAAGGACCCCCCCCAAAGAGTAAAACTGGGCGGGAGAAGGAAGCTGCCACCGACGGGAGGCCTGCTGTATGGCCGGCTGTCTGCTGGGGACTTCATCTGAGCAAGCCTGCAAAGAAGGGACCCTTGTTTCCCACTCACACGCGAAGAACCCTGAGGCTCAGACAGGTTGAGGGACTTGCCCCAGGACACACAGCTGAACGCTGGAGCTGGCCCTCTACTCCCGGTCTGTCTGACCCCAAAGCTGGCGTTTGCTCCCCTATATTCCACAGAGAGTTTGGCCGGTAGTCGAGGAATCCTGGAGCCCTACATCCGCGGGCTCTGGCTCTCTTACAATGAGCTGATCTCGTACCCGCTTAAACTCAAGTTCTTTGGCAGATGAGGACTTCTTTGATTCTGTTCTACCTCTTTGTTCTCATTGCCTACTTCTTGTTTTCCACTGCTCTCTCTACGGGCTGAGCCAAGTCCTGTCTGAGCTCAGGTCTGCTCTGCGGCACAGGAAACCGTTCAACGCTGCTCATGTCAAGGTCCCTCCTTCCACTTTCTCCCTGCTTTTCTCAAGGTCTCTAAAGTAAAAGCGCCCCTCAGGTTTATTTGAGTCCTCACCTCTTCCAGGAGGCCTTCTCCACAGCCTTCACTGAGCACAGGCCCCTTCCGTCTCTGGGCAGCCTACACCGACAGACTAGCCTTGATCTTGCACTTCTGTCTCTTCAGAGAGGTAGCGGGACATATGAGAAAGGTAGCTGTGGGTCGAACTTCAGCTTCGCTAATTCCCTGGGAAGGTTTTGTAAACCCTGAGCCTCTGCTTGCTTGTGGGGGGACAGTCCCGGGTTTTGGCTCCTGGTTCCCCTGTCCTCTCTCCGAGGGCCCCTGCGGCCTCCCCCAGACCTAGATCCTGCAGTGCATCCCTAGCGAAGCACGCTCCAGTGAGACACCACCCCAGAGGGCACATTTCTGACTATTTCTACTAGAGTGACACCACAGTGACTTCTCCCTTCCTTCCTTCCACAAGACACTCTGTGCCAGCAGAGCCTGGACCTCAGCTGGAGGGGGTGGAGGGCTCTCCCCAGGTCACTCTACCTCAGCCCGGGGGTAGTAGATGCTCCTAACACCCGCATTCCTATATTCTTGAGAGTTCTCTCTACTTCTCAGTAGCTAATTCTTTGTTGTTCCAGTTCGCTATTGTAGTTAATAATTCTCTACATTGATCTGTTGAAATCACAGTGTGGTTTTTCTCCTGTGATTGAGTCCACACCGATACACCCTCTATGTTACCATGCATGCCTTTGCTCACAACTGTTCCTTTTCACACTAAGATACCACCTCCAAACTGCTTAGATTAGGCAAATCCCATGGTCCTTCAAGGCCCCTTCAGCCCTCTGTCCCCTGCTTGCACACAGAAACCTTTCAGGAGCCCCCTGCCCACCCTGTCCTCTTCTTGCCCTGAGCTCTGGAGCACTGACTTCATTTGAACATACCCTCAGAACCCAGCGTTGCTAACGGTTTACATGTGTGGCTTATATGTCCTCAACAGCCTATTACTGTGGTTCTCAACCTTGGCTGCACATTTTAATCACCTGGGGAATCTTTAAAAAGTCAAACTGATTCTGGTGCTGGGTCCCACCCCGAGAGATTGTGACTTAATTGGTGTGGGGAGTTTCAGAAGCTCCTCAGGTGCGTTAAATGTGAAGTCAAGGTTAGGAATCACTGGCTGTAAGCTTCTTAGGTTGGGTCTTCTGCACACTCCTGTGTGATCTCTCTCCTTAATGCCACCCGCAGGCTTACTCTGGCTACCCTTCCCACACTGCTAGGATGTATTTGTTTAAGTCTCTCCTGGGTAGCAGGGAGCACTCATGCATTTTTCATTCTAATGAAGATGATATGGAGCAGGTACTAAGGGCCGAGGGCTGCACCGGGCACTTTGCATAAGTTGGCTCATTTATTCCCTTCAATAGCACAGGGCCCCCGTGTGGTCCCAGCATGCTGCACTCTGCCTGGCACACAGCAGACCTTTCATAACTGTTTCCTGAACTGAAAGAGATGTTGAATCAATGCCAGCAGAGTAGTGGACATTGTGGAGTCTCTCCAACACCCATCTCACCTCTGCCCTCCTGCAGCGGCAGCCCAGAGGTTGGGGGGAGTTGACTTGAATTCCAGGGATGGATTCTATTTAGTCACAGCTAATCAGGTTTTCCTGTTCCCCTCGCTCCAGTGACTGAGTCAGGTGTCGACTTCAGATGACGCCGATCAGTACCTGCATCCACTAAGCCACAGAGCTTGGCCCAGCAGTGATCATGAGACCAAATTTAGGCCAATGAGATGAGAGGAGAAATTAACCAGCAGCCTTTGGGAAAAGGGCCTCCATTTTCTCTCCAGAAAGTTTCTGGAATCTCCTCTTGCTCTCTTCCCTGGAGATGATGATGTGAAGGAGGAAGGCTTAGAGCGGCTGCAGCCATCTTGTAGGCAGACCAGGGCTGACCAAGGTGACGCATGAAGGAAGGCAGAGCTGGGAGAGTAATAGCAGAGGCCCGAGTGGACTTCCCTCCTCATGCTCTACCACAGCACATCCTCAACCGTGGGAGCCAATCATCCACCTTTATGGTGTAAGCCATTTTGACTCACACTGTTGTTCCCTGCCACCAAAAACATCTTCACTTTGGAAATGAAAGGAGAAGGTTCTATTGAAGTCCTCAGTCCACAGGGAACTCCAAACAGATCTGCCTTTGAGGAATGCCCTGACATGGCAATGACTTGAGAGTGAGGGGGGAACCCATCTCGGGCCTTCTATTCTGGGTCCTCAAAGCCCCCATAGGTAAAGTACCCCTCAGTGCCATTAGCATGTTCCTGCCCTAGCAAAGGGGCACTTCTGTTGACCTGCAGAAAGAAGGGTGTGAACGTGAGTACGCATGGCGGAGCTGCCACTCTCCAGGGCATCCGGATGGCCACCTCTTCCCTGCCTTGTCCACCCTGTGTCCCCTCAGAGCAGCAGACGCAGCAACTATCATCTACTGGGTATGCACTACGTCTCCCACATGGTGCAAGTCCTCCACATACATCATCTTACTGAACCTTCACCAAACTCTTGGGAGGGAGGTACTTATTCTGTAGTTAGAGTTGACCAAACCCAGACTGAGAGAGAAGTAAGCGGCCCAAGGCCACGCAAGTAGGAAGTGGTGAAGTGTGGGCCCCTCGCAGCCATGCACGGGGCCAGCTGGGGCATTCTGAGTACTGGCCGGCCCCAGCCAGGGTGAGGCTGACAGAGAGCCCCCTCAAGGGCTCACTCTGCAGCACCATGTTTAAAGGCCAAACTTGGTGACTCTCTTGGATGCTAAGACAATTTCCTACACACCATTTTCTCTCAGCAAAGCATTCATGTTCTGTATTTTTGATTCAAGAAACCCAGATCTGTGATGTACTCTATTTATTAGTGATGCAGCTCCAGGAAATTGATTCAATTAGCACTTTGCAATAGGAGGCCAGCATAGAATGTGAAATATATTTGCACTCAGGGGTGGCTGTGATGCAGGATTTAAAAAATAATAGATACGTTGAAAATCTCTTTCTTTTTAATATCTGGGGTGTCTTCATAACCCACATGGCTCCTCTGTTAACATTTAGACATAAACATGCTCATGAATTATTTTAAGAAAAAAACATAATCTGATTTCTTACACAAAGAACTTTCTCTACATGTTAGCGAATGTGATTTTGGGTTTCTGAGGCTAGATCTGCACACATTTTTAAAGTGTTTGCTGAAAGCCTAGCCTTCTGTTAGATTCAGCTAATTATAAGATGTAGACCATGCTCTCTAGGAACTTATATTTAGTTGGGAGAATAAAGTATAGACCCTGGGAAAATAAAAATATAAAAGTAAATTGCCAGTGCAATATATGATCTAAGGCAGGGCATGACTGATTTCCAAACAAATGCTACAGATGAGGTGTCCAACAGATCGGAGGGGAAAAAATAATAGCCATTATCTAGGAGGCCCTTAAAACATGGCAAGTTCTTTCATGTGCTATTTTATTTAATACTTAAGTGGTAGGATAGTATGTTTGAGACCTTAGCCTCTATTCTTTTGATTTTACCCTCTCTGTAGACACATATCTGGCTTGTGCTCATTGCCACAGGGAGGGTTGTGACAAGGAGAAGAGCAGATGGGGCTTAAAGCTGAGTTTCTTCCCCAGTTTTGTTTCCAGAAGTCTAAACCCTAGGAGGGTGGGGACGATCTGGGTACGGATCCACATTTGGGGAAAAGTAGAAGAAAATCTGGCTTCCCGCAGACGAGAAAATGTCACCCTTGACTAGGAAGGGGCCTGGCAGGGAGGTAGTGGAGGGGGTAAGGCACAGGGGTGCACAGCGAGGCACCTGGAGCCGGCTACCTGGGCTGAGCTTTGGCTGGGGAGCACGATGCTAGAGGGGATGTTGGCCTGTCACATCTGGACAGATAGGCAGATGGACTGCAGATGGTCTTACAGAGAGAGCATGACAAGCACGGGAGATATTTTTGTGCCCCTAAGTAAGACAAGGAAATACTGAGAGAGCTGCCAGCCCTGAAAGACCATTAGTGACAGGACCGAAGAGGTGAGCACCATTTCCGTGGACACCTGCATGGGATGATGCCTGGAGGCCCCCCGGCACCCTAGCCCCACATAAACACCCCTGAAATCAGCTGGCACCAAGGAAATGGAACAATTTCCAATTTGCCAAGGTTAACTCTCCCCCGCTCAGAT